CTGAATTGTAATCGCGGCGGAGGGGAAAGGGGGAGAGGAGGAGGGGGCAAAAAGAAACATCGTTCGATCGTTTAGAGATCGCGATTGGAAATTGACGGCGTGCGGGAATTGGCTCCGCTGATGCGGAGAACCCGGCGACTCACCAGGGCCGTAGAACTTGGCGCCTCTGGTGACGTCGTACACGCTGCCGTTGACGGCGACCAGTATCCGGCCGTCCGGGCCCTTGCCGTCGTACTTGGTCAGCTCCTCGATCGTGAAATCGCGTCGCAGCTTCGGCAGCTTCTTCACCTCCTGCACGGGTTCCTCGGTCTGCGCGCGGCTCTTGAGGATCTTGTACACCAGAACGGCGATCACGCCCACGAGGGCGAGGTTCAGCGGGCTCTTGACAATCTCGGTGATGAAGGCGGACAAGAATTGCTGCTGCGGTTGCTGCTGTTCCTGGCCCGCGGCCGGCGAGCCGCTCTTCTCGGCCATCTTGACCAACTCAGACCAACCGATCGACCGATCTATCTACCCAGCGGGCGAGGAGTGTCGCCGTGGAAGACGAGAGGTTACGAACGTCACGCGCCGGGACAGAGAGAGAGAAAGAGATAATCCGAAAGGACGTGCGCGTTCCCGAACTTTTCGTGAGTAACGTACGCGTACGCACGGATCGAACGCAACCTACGACTATAACTCGGCGTGTAACGGCGTAGCAACACCAGTAAACGAGAGGCGACCGGGACCGATCGTCGGGAACCGCAAACTGATATCGCCGACTAGGCGCCACTCGCCGATGACGATAATCGTGCGACGCTAACGATGCGTACCGGTGCGCGTTACGTGGCCCCTCTCCCTCCTACCCTCCCCCTACACTTCGTTCTTCCCTCCACCAGCCTGCTTTCGACGTATGCCCAACGGCATGGGGAGAGACGAGACGTACGTGATGTCGCGCCGTTTTACGTGGCCGAGCCGTGGTGGTGCACCGCAGGGCCGTACGCATCGGACCTAAGGGGAGGAGAGAAGGGGAGGGGGGGAAGGGAGAGATTCAAGCTCGAGGATTCATATCGAATCATAGGTCCTATTCTTGAAACATCGCATACGAAAATCCTATAGTGTGCTAAGTATATGCGATATGTTTCAAGAATGTGGGCCCCATATCACGTATATGTATCGCATGAAAATCTTTCTCTTTCTCTCTCTCTCTCTCTCTCTCTCTATATATATATATATATATATATATATATGATATACGTGACGTATACTATAGAATTTTCGTATGCGATATTTTTCGAAAATAAGGCTCCAGAAATCGCTTCCCCCATGAAAATGTATACATTGAAGAAATAGATAGAAATACGTAGAAATTATTTACATTCGTTTCTGCTAATGTAGATTAGCTTTAAGCCTAAATTTTTTTATTTTTTTTGCTTTTAAGAATTAATTTAAGAAAAAGATGAAGAGTAAATTGAAATTTACATAAAATTGAAGTTATTCTAGATCGATAGAAATTATCATTATAATATTCGATTTTACTAATTTAGATTAACTTTAAGTTCGAATTAATTTATTTTTTATTCTTTTTTGATTGATGAAAAGTTGGAAAATTTCAATATATGTATATATAAATTTCCCAACTTTTCATCAATTATTATTTACTTTAATGTAACATTAAAGTAAAAAAAAAATTGTTAAACCTAATCTTTGATTAAAAAATATTAATTTTGAAAGATATAAATAGTCAAAAATAACTGCTTGATACTTTTAATATAAACTTATTCAATCGCTTAAAGTAAACAAGTTAATTGATTCTTAAAATCTTCTATATAATAGATAAAAAAAATTAATACTTTTATTTATGTTGACAAAATAATACATATGTTTAACGAATCGCAAATTTAATCGAAATTTAATCGAAAACGAGATCCGAGTTAATTAAGCTTACAAATTTATAATAATTCGATTAGTCGTAATTTTTTCTTTCTTTCTTCATTTCTCTTTTTCTTAGTACTTTGCATTTTTAATTACGTTCGAACTGAAATGATTTACATGTTTCGCGTTAAACTCTCATTATCTTCGCTCTTGTAATCACGTCCGTTAATGTAATAAATCGATAATAGAATGTATCTGGATAAAAAAGAAACCAGGACTTTGCATCGCTCGCGTGTTCATTAATGCAACTAATGTCAACGTACGTAGAAATCTGTCGTCACTACGAGTTCCTCGTAATTCAAGTCTTTCGATCACCAGTGCTGCAGACATCTTTAACGCGTTTTGCTAATCCACTTTTACATCTCGTCGATCATTCGAAGGGATTCTAAAATACTATTTTTTTATGAAGTACATTCGCAGCTGTACGCGGCCTTTTTTAAAACGAAACTAGAATGTACCGTTTCTGCTTCCTCTCTCGCTCCCTGTCGAGCGAGAAACAGTTACGTCGCGGGAGGGAAAAAAGAAATTACGCGTCTCGAGCGGAGATTATCGTCCCCACCGGCAGATTCACGTTTATAGAACAGCTTAGAATTTCATAATAATAATGGGAGGTTCGCATTCCCGACTCGTCATTATCGCGGCTTCCACGTCGCGAAGTTTTTCGTCGCGTATCGCGAAATGCCTGTCCTCGACAATTTACGAGAAAAACATGTAATTATTCGCGTCGATTCTTCAAAGTCATGCTGCACAGAGTCACGTGTTCCAGATATGTATATGCATCGCATATGTATACATATATATATATATATATGTCGCGTCCGACAGGGAGAACTTTGAGCGCGATTAGGTTAGCAATTAATGGCGGTCGCGGGATCGCGCTATTATGATTATGACGGAACTGCCTCTCGCGCTTCTCCCGTCCTTTCGTTTCCTCGGCTTACATAACGCGAAACACATTCTATCCATTCCAAAGGATATGTCGAAGTTTCTCACGTATGTAGTAAACGTAACAGGACTTATTGACTTTGTACTCATCAGTTTTGTTCAATTAGGTTTGTCTCGTGAAACTTTTCTTTCCGCTGTCCAATGCTCTTTATATCTGTATTTCAAGTATATAAAGTATATAACACAACTGTAGAAACCAGATACAATACATTGCGCCTATTTTGTTATACAGATTTTGTCTGACTGTATCAATTATCAATTTTATTTAAGTTTTTGTGAGTTTTACATTTTCTTCTCTACATGCGATGACATATCTATTTTATTCCAAGTTCAGGAAGTATAATACAACTGTTAGAAACACAATATATTACGCCTATTTTGTTATGTAAATTTCGTCGATTGTATCAAATGTTAATTTTGTTCGTTTGTTCTTGTAGAATTTTTTATACTTTAAATTGTTAAATAAAATGTAAAAATGTAAAAATATAAAAATTAATAGAAGTCAGTATTATTATTGTGCAATGTATTATTTTCTTGTGAATTTAATACATCTTTTTTGCAAACTATTAACTTTTATTATTAACTACGCGCTGATTATTTGTTGACTTTAACATATAATCCTAAGCTGAAATCATATCACAATTATTAAACTGATAATCAACCTAATATTATTGATGCTCTAAACACTTTAAGAATCTGTTAATTTTGTAATTTGTTGCAAAAAATATCTCCCCGAAAAGAATCTTAACAAATCCTTTCCATTATCCAATAATTCACTTATCTTATTTTAAGTGTAGAAAATATAATACAAGAAACCAGATTCGATATGTTGCATATTTTTTTTTTATGCAAATCTCATCGAATATATTCAATGAGTTGTTTTATTTATGGCAATCATCTACATTAAAACGCATTTTACATAGCAAATGACACTGGCTTTTTTGTACATATATTTTATATATATAATCTACTTGTACTCAAATAAATTGTACTTCTAGTGGACGGCACTGTTATCGAGAATACTGACCTTCACTTTCAAGTCAACCGGAATATCTTATTTGCTAGTAGCCACATTCAGCAGAACTATTGAAAATTTTCTGTACTAAGAGTGAATTATTCCTTTAGATCTAAAAACATAATCCAATTTCAGCACAAAAAACTCCCAACAATTCCAAAATAAACGTAAACTGCTGAACGTAACTATTTATAAATTTGTAAGGCGCCACATTACCTCCTAATGCATATCATAATCGGACGAATAATAATAAGGCACCTCCAATTTGCACGGATGTAGACATCTAGACTATTTTCCTATTGAATTTCTAATTTTCGTGAATTAAGCTGTGCTTCCTCTCGTACATTAATGAGCGTATTTAAATATGTAAAAATTATTTTTACATGTTTAAATCATTATGATTCTTTACATATTTAAGTCTTCATAATCGTCTTTTCCTCCTGATAATCAAGGTACGGATGAATATCAGTGATAGACGACACGGCTTCAGAATTAATCCTCTCCGAGCACATTGGACAAGTCTCCTCGGATTCAATAATTCTAATGTAACAAGTTGTGATCAATCACAATATATAATCTTAAATAATAATTGTATTCTCTTTGTGTAATGCCTACCTTAGAAATTCACTTCTTATGGCCGGAAAGTCACACCGGGGGCATACCGTAAAATCATCCTCCATAATATGCCGTCCCTGTGAATATATAAAAATAAGAGAACTTTGCCCTCTTTCCTTATTGGTAATTATTAAAAAAAGTTTTACCGTTGCAATGCAAAAAGGTATGGTGTTTTTACACTTATCACAGGTTACTTCAGTCTCGGGAACTCTGCTCTTGCAGTACGGACAAGGTGTCAGAGGCTCGTCTTCATTTTCGATATCTTTCGTTCTCGGTGGTTTCCTAACGATCGCCTCGATCTTTTTGCTATACTTTGCATCGACTTGGCCTCGATATTCCGGACGCATCAACATAGCGGCGAAATTAAAAGCTGCGTTTTTCAAGCCTGCTCTATGACATTCGATTACGGTCGAGGTCAATATCGGAACGATATCTGGAATATAAAAAGATATTCATCAAAAGTAGTAAACCAAGTATCTTTCGTCTATGTTAATCGCCTGGAACGATTCCTATTGTACTAACGTGAAGGAAATTTCGAGATATTGTTGGCTACCCTTATAAGCATTCTGGCACCTCGCAAATGATCGCTTCTTTTTACGTGTAATCTCACCAGAATATAAGAATGCAAAAGTCTTAAATTGGTCTGCATTTCCAAGGGAATGGTAATCTTGTTTCTTTTCAATTCTTGATACATACCGAATAAAACATCGTGAGCGTTTCTATAATTTCCTGAAATAAGGAATCCATTGTTGCAGCATAATGCATTTTTAAATATATATATATATATATATATGTATACATACCATTAATTTGTTCCTCATTAGCAATTATAATCGCTGTTTTAGCCGCTTCTTTATATTGTTTCCTAGCCATATATAATCGGAACAGATATTTCG